GGCTCCCGTGTAGCCTTTAGAGGGGCCTGGAATCTGGATCGGAGGCTACTGTGTTGTTGGTGTCACTGCCTTGGAGCTACTGCATATTGATGAGGGAGGCTGAGCCCGCAGCTTTTTCGAGCTCTGCAGAGAAGGGAGGCAGTGGAGTGGCTGGGAATAGCACTGTTCCTGGACAGGCAGGCAGGCAGGCAGGCAGCTGCCAGCAGGCTCTCCTAATAATTTTTGGTTTTCTCCCTGTCTCCTCCTCCTCCTCCTCCTCTCCTTTCTGTCATCTGGACCCATCAGATGGGATGTTGAGCTAAGAGCAGAGTTGCTGCCACACTCAGGTGTGTATTTGTGGACATTGGGGTGGGGTGGGATGGGGGAAGGTCGGGATAATGCTGGAGATATTGCTCATGTGCCTGGGCTTCTAAGCAGCCCTTTTCTATTGTCTGATGCGAAAGGCCAGGCCAACGTCATACTGTATTTCCGAAGCTGGAGGTTGACAGCTTTGCCGCTTGGATGGAACAACATTGCTGGTTCGGAAGGGAGGGAGCCGAACAATTGCATTTGTGCACATGCACAGCTGTGCTTGTCGGACTAAGGAGAAAGCAGTGCGTGCGCCTGAAGGTTGCTTGCTTGTTTGGAAAGAGAGAAGAGGTTTCTGCATTCGTGTATATGGTGTGAAAGGAGTTGTGTGTACAGGTGGGTAATCTGTGTGCATGTGTACGCACAGGAGGCTGACTGGGACCCTGAGCAAAGGGACTGGGAGATGTGACCGAGTGTACTTTGCACGAGACAAAGAAGATTGCGTTGGAGGGGAATTGCAAAGAAACGAAAACAAAAAAACCCGCCCATGCTTCTGCTACCAAGGCAATGGAGGTTCTGTTTACAAGACTGCATGTAAGAGGGGAATTCTTTTTGTGGATGCTCCTTGACATTTAGGCAGTCAGAGGAGACGGTGGACATATACAGGGCGTCTGGCTCGTAGCATCGCTGAGCATGTGTGGGGAATGGGGAACTGCTGTAGTTTTCCTCCAGCGTTGGGAAGGGAGCTGCAATGCCCTGTTAGCGAAGTGTGTTTTGTGGTGCAGCTAAGGAAGAAGAGCAAGTTTGTGTGGTGTGCAGAGACGGGCGTTGCTGGCGTGTTTGTGGCAGGAGGGTGTTCCCGTGGGCAGGCAAGGGGAGGCAGGTTGTGTCTCTTCACCGAAGGATGCTGTGTAGGCAAAAAGGAAGGGGCATTGGGCATGGCTTTTGGTGCTCATGCATTTTCCAAGATCAGCATCGGGAAAGGGCTTTGTTATGTATCTGCGTTGCTTGGCTGGCTCACGAAACAAGGTGACCTCTTGTACTCCGTGGCCCTGGACATATTCCCGGGGGAGGCTTCTATGTTCTGCAAGGAGAGCACATTTGGAGAGGTGGTCTGGGGATGACGGGACAATAGAGCACAAAGCACCTACCTTACACCTCGACCTCTGGGCCTGACACTCAACATTTACAGAGGATGCGTCTTACAGAGCGGTCCAATCGACTGGGTGGTGTTGGGTGGCATGGCCGGGTTAATGTAGTAGCCATCAGGTCACGAACTGGGAGACTTGAGGCCTGTTTCCCAGTTCTTGCTCAGTATGATGGGAATAACAGTGATGGACCTTGCAGGTTGTTGTGGCAATCAAAAAGTTATTGGGGGGGGGGGAGCAGACAGCCTCTCTTTTATGGGATACTCCCTGTTTTCCGGTTGTACCCTCCCCTGGTAATTTACCTTCCCTATTTTTTGTCCTAGTTGTTTTTTTGTTTGTTTACTTTCTTAGGGTTGCTAAAAAATTTCATGTCAATTGCTAGAGTTGTAATTCTTCAAGGTTCAGCTCCCTCCCCAGAGACCTCAGAAGTTAAACTTTCTGTTTTGGGGGGGGGGAGTGGAAACATAAATGGGACGCAAACATTAAAGCATCGTGCAGTATGCTAGCTATCATTCACTACCCTGCAGTTGTCAAGGTATATTTTGAATGGTCACTGAGCTGCTGTCGGATCATGGATATATTTCTCTCTCTGACCCCCCAGAATGTCTATGGGAAATTGATGCAGCATTTAACTGATGGAGTAGAATCTCCTGCAAGGTGAAACTGGCAGAGAGGGAACTCAACTTGGTGTGAGAGTAGGATGATAAAAACATGCCCCTGGCTGGTTCTATGAAATGTTGGAGGGGGAAGGATGACGCCCAGTCTTAACTACATGCCCACTGACATTCTCTAATTTGAGTTGCAAAAAAATGGCGACTTGTATTTCAGCAAGCTTAGGGGATGAACTTTGCTCACAGTGGGTTGACTGATGATTGCATTTGAGGTCTGCATGGAATTTTCCTCCAGGCCCAGGAGGTTGGGCAGGCCCAATGCCTTCCCTTGTGGCACGTGGCTGGCTTGCTTGCATGAGTCATCTGGAACCATTTTTCTTAAGAGTAGCATCATGCAGAGTGTGGGCTCTCTGTGATATAAGTAACACTGGGAGCGAAGTCAGTTCTGTGTTGTCTGAACTGAGTGTCTGTGGATGTGTAGGGCTACAGGCACACATGTGGAGTTGATAGGGACTGAACCTGGAGCCTTCCTTCATGCAAAGCAGATGCTCTCTCTCTCTCTCTCTCTCTCTCTCTCTCTCTCTCTCTCTCTCTCTCGGCTATGGCCCTTCCTTCCACCGCAGCATTACCAAGTTGTAAGTTTGACAGCAAGAGCTCTAAATGGGTGGATATCGAGGAGGGTGTGGCAAGGAACTGGACCAGGGCTGGCTTCAGACTTTTAGGAAGGGGAACTTGGGCAAAATATCCCCAGTGGGTTCCCATCTCTGACTATTGCTGTCCTTCCTGCTGTGAGCTTACGATACGATACAATACGATACGATATCTTTATTGTCATTGTCTCATACAGAACAATGAAATTGAACAAAATCTACACCAGACATTCAAAAACCAACAAGCCTGCTATACCAGCTATCCTAGCCTGGCTAACCCCCTAAAAACTCCAATACCCCATAATTAAATACAATATACTCCCACAGAGACTACCTTCCACTGCGTTTAAAACCAAAATCGCATTTGGATAGAAACTGTTTCTCAGGCGGCTAGTCTTAGTCTTCCAGAAGGCAGAAGCTGAAAGAAGCTGCCATTTCCTCGACAGCTACAACAACCTTGGTTGTCAAATGGCTTGGCTCCCGAACAAATCGGCTCTTGAACGCTGCAAACCCAGAAGTAAGTGTTCTGGTTTGCAAACATTTTTTGGAAGCCAAATGTCCAATATGGCTCCTGTGGCTTCCGATTGAGTGCAGGAAGCTCCTGCAGCCAATTGGAAGCTGTGCCTTGGTTTTCGAACGGTTCCAGGAGTCAAACGCAGAGACGTAGCTAGCTGCTTTGGCACCCGGAGCGGCGGGGGTGGGGCGATCCACCCAGGGGGGGTGGCGTGGTGATCCATGCACAGGGGCAGTGCAGCGAGCTGCCCACAGAGTCCACCTGGCGGATGCAAGCCCCACGTTGCTGTTTCAGGCAGCGCGGGGGCCCGAGCCTCCGCGTGACTCTCAGAAGAGACACGTGGCTCAGGAGCGCTGCAGGCCAGGCCCCGCGATAAGTGCCACCCCTCCGCAGTGTGCCATTTTGTCACCCCCTCAGGGATGACACCCAGGGTGGATTGCACTCCCCGCACCCCCCTTCCTACGCCCCTGGTCGAATGGACTCCTGGAACCAATTAAGTTTGACAACCAAGGTACCATCCACATCTTTCTATTTCTGCCAGCTGTTCACTTGCCAGGAGGCAGCCAGCAAGCACCTAGGCATTAGCAATGGTGCGAAAGAGGAGCAGAAAGTCGGGGGGCGGGGGCGGGATGTGAGTATGAGCCCCTGACAAAGGCATGAGCCTCAGCCTGGATGTTCCAACTTCTGGCACCAAACCTGGGTTGGACTAGATCACTAGTGTGGAACCTCTGGCCTGGGTCTAAAAGTGGCCCTCCAGGCCTGTCTGTTTGGCCCTTGGAAATCTCTCCAGGCTGCATCCCTTCGCCCCAGCCCAAAGGCCTCTCTGGCTCTGCTTTACAACCCTAGCACTTTTGTCAGGCTGGATTGTGTCCCAGAACTCTGGAAATGCCTCTTCCATTCTGGGATGGAGCGTAGAGAGGGGTATGATGTTTGCTTTTGCTTGGCAACATCTGGAGGGCCCAAAATCCCCACACCTGAACCTGCATAGGGTTTGGAAACTTCAGCTGGTGCAGAATTCAGTGGCCAGCTTGCATGACGGTTTGAGCATATTACACCCATCCTGGTCCAACTGCACTGGCTACTGATTAGTTTCCGGGCCCAATTCAAAGTCCTGGTTTTGACCTATAAAGCCTTAAATGGCTCAGGACCACAATACCTCAGGGACTGCCTCTTCCCATATGAACCTACCCAGTCCCTGAGATCATCTTCTGAGCCCCCCCTCTTCGTGTACCTCCACGAGAGGTCAGAAGGGTGGCAACACGAGAATGGGCCTTCTCTGTGGTGGCTCCCCGTCTGTGGAATGCTCTCCCCAGAGAAGTTCGCCTGGCGCCTTCACTAAACACCTTTAGGTGAAAGGCAAAAACGTTCCTTTAAAATGCTGGCTCTTTTGGGGTTTTTTTTATTGGGTTGTTGGTTTTGTTTTGATTTTATGTATTTGATATTTTATGTGAACCGCCCTGAGACCTTTGGGTATAGGGCAGTATAGAAATTATACATACATACATACATAATAAATAAATAAATAATAAATACATACATAAATAATAAAAATTGTCTGGCAGTGCCTCTCTGAGATTTCAGACTGGATTTTGGCCCTACCTGGAAATGCAGGGATTCGAACCCGTGACCTGCTTGCTAAGCAGATGCTCTCCCACTCTCTCCCTCTCTCAGTACTTGGGAGCTTGTCAAAGTGAAAAGCAGGGAGGAACCGGTAGCAATTTCATGGAAATATTTTCCGCTTTCCGCTTCTCCTTTGACTTCCACCTTCAGCTTGCTTCTGTCGCATCGCGTTGGGCCAAAGGGAATTTGAGCAGTGAAATGAAGCAGCGCATCGGAAGCCCTGCTTCTGCTCCGCTGCCTGCCCAGAAGCCATGTGTCCCCTTGGAATTGGAGGTCATTCCTGCTACTGGCGAGGGGCCCTTTTATGGGAATTCAAGACGAAGGTAGATAAAATTAAAGATCAAGGGGCCAGGAAGGTCAGTGGCCAGGGGTGGAGAGGGAGCTGAGGATGTCTTGGCCTCTATGCATAACAGAGGTGAACAGACAAAATCTCTCTCTCTCTCTCTCTCTCTGCCCCCACCCCGTCCCTCCTAGTTGTTGGCTGGAGCTGTGTGAAAGAGTTCAGGACTGGAATAATAAAGGTTTCTGATGCAAGGCAGAGGAATAGCTAATGTTGCGGGTGGGCTGGAAGGGGAACAAGACATGGAGCGGTATTACGGATTAGGATGCAGGTGTCTTGGCACAGAGCCTTTTGTAATAATAAACACTTGGCTGGAGCGAACTCCTGCGCAGCTTCCAAGCACATTTCCCCCCCTCAAAGAATTCTGGGCGCTGTCATTTGCTAAGGATTGCTGGGAACAGTAACCCTGCGAGGGGTAAACTTCAGTCTCCAGAACTCCTTCTTGGAAATACAGTGGTACCTCGGGTTACATACGCTTCAGGTTACATACGCTTCAGGTTACAGACTCCGCTAACCCAGAAATAGTACCTCGGGTTAAGAACTTTGCTTCAGGATGAGAACAGAAATTGTGCTCCGGCGGCGTGGCAGCAGTGGGAGGCCCCATTAGCTAAAGTGTGCTTCAGGTTAAGAACAGTTTCAGGTTAAGTACGGACCTCTGGAATGAATTAAGTACTTAACCCGAGGTACCACTGTAAGGTCCATCAAATGTGCAGCGTGAATGGACTGTGGTCTTTTACACGCTTCCCTGCAAGGAAGTCCCATTGAGTTTAGAAGGACCTGCCTCTGTTTAAGTCCCTCTAAACCAGCCATTCTCAACCTGTGGGTCCCTAGATGTTGTTGGACTACAACTCCCATCACCCCTAGCTAGCAAGGCCAGAGCTCAGGGATGATAGGAGTTGTAGTCCAACAACATCTGGGGACCCACAGGTTGAGAACTGCTGCTCTTAACTGAATTCTAAAAAGGAAAAACGTGGACTCAGGAGGAGGAAGGTGGCAGCCAGGCCTACCTGCTGGGGTGGTTGTAAGAAATGAGTAACAAAGGTCAGAGGTGGCTGAGGGCAGACTGATGTTGGTGGGGCAGTGCCCTGTTTGCCTCTGGTAGACAGGTGTGGGATTTATAAGAAGAAGAAGAAGAGTTTGGATTTGATATCCCACTTTATCACTACCCTAGGGAGTCTCAAAGCAGCTAACATTCTCCTTTTCCTTCCTCCCCCACAACAAACACTTTGTTTTGCCCAGCGTTGGGATCGAACCCACGACCTGGAGATGAAGAGTCTCATTCAAACAAAAATGCCGATGAATTTTCACGCACACTACTAAAAACACACATAAATTGATGTGAACCACCCCAAAGCAGCTAACATTCTCCTTTTCCTTCCTCCCTTACAACAAACACTTTGTGAGGTGAGTGGGGCTGAGAGACTTCAGAGAAGTGTGACTAGCCCAAGGTCACCCAGCAGCTGCATGTGGAGGAGAGGGGAATCGAACCCGGTTCACCAGATTACGAGTCCACCGCTCTTAACCACTACACCACACTGGCTCTATAATGTATACTGCTTTGAGAGTTTTGTGACAAAGCAGTCTACAAATCTTCCTTTCTCTCTCTCTTAAAAATGTCAGTCTGACTAATGCTACTTGATCTGTCCTAGCAAGCTTACAATGTTCCCATCCTTGGTCCAAAGTAGGAATAGCTGAATATGTCACTTTCGGTTTCTCTTAAGTTTCTTATCTCTCCCCCTTTCCTGCCGCCCCACAATTTTAGGTTCAGTTCTCCACATTTCCACATCAATTTATGTGTGTTTTTAGTAGTGTGCGTGAAAATTCATCGGCATTTTTGTGTGAATGAGACTCTTCATCTCCAGGTCGTGGGTTCGATCCCAACGCTGGGCAAAAGATTCCTGCACTGCAGGGGGTTAGACTAGAGGACCCTCATGGTCCCCTTCCAACTCTGCAGTTCTATTATTCTCTTGCCATTTCCCCTGATATGTACATTTTTGCAAGGCAATTCCCCCCCAATTTTTGTATTTTGTTTCTACTCATATATGCATTCATGTGCACACCAAACCCTTTAGTACATGGGTAGGCAAACTAAGGCCTGGGGGCCAGATCTGGCCCAATTGCCTTCTAAATCCGGCCTGCGGAATGGTCCAGGAATCAGTGTGTTTTTACATGAGTAGAATGTGTCCTTTTATTTAAAATGCATCTCTGGGTCATTTCTTGGGCATAGGAATACGTCCATTTCCCCCCTCCAAAATATAGTCTGGCCCCCCACAAGGTCTGAGGGACAGTGGACCGGCCCCCTGCTGAAAAAGTTTGCTGACCCCTGCTTTAGTATATGCATTTTTGTATATACTCAGCATTGCAAAATTTAGAGAAGTGCAAATTTGAAGGATTGAACACGTCTTGTTTTGGGAAGTGTGAATTAGGTAAAGGTAAAGGGACCCCTGACCATTAGGTCCAGTCGTGACCGACTCTGGGGTTGCGGCGCTCATCTCGCTTTACTGGCCGATCACTTCCGGGTCATGTGGCCAGCATGACTAAGCCGCTTCTGGCGAACCAGAGAAGTGCACGGAAACGCCGTTTACCTTCCCGCTGGAGTGGTACCTATTTATCCACTTGCACTTTGACGTGCTTTTGAACTGCTAGGCTGGCAGGAGCAGGGACCGAGCAACAGGAGCTCATCCCTTCGCGGGGATTCAAACTGCTGACCTTCTGATCGGCAAGTCCTAGGCTCTGTGGTTTAACCCACAGTGCCACCCGCGTCCCTTTGTGAATTAGGTAGGCTTGCCTTTAAATGGGATCTGAATCTTATTTTCTATACCACTCCTAGTCTAAGGCCTGGTCTGGAAGTAGAAAGCTCATATGCACACCACTCTGAGCTATAGGCATCAAATAATAAAGCATTTACCATCCCCATGTGCTCAGCTTTCAGGATAGCTGTGGAATGCTTTAAAATGACATGCAGATCCCCTCCCCAAATGGCAGCAACAGTTGCTTCTTTGTGCTGCGCAGGGTTGTCACAGAAACGGAGGGACGGTCAAATGATTCTTCGCATTTGTAATGGCTTTTGTGACAATGGAGAAGATTTAACCCAGAAGAGCTTGGGCTGCTGTCCACCCACCAGCAACCACGGCTAGATGGAAACAGCAGGCAAATGGGCAGCTTTCTTTTAGATCAGATAAGGAGGCCTGATCTTTGGCTGCATCCCATGTTGCTGCGATGAACTCATTTTAAAGGTTGCAATATCCAAAGTGCTTAACAGCACACTTTGGAAACCGAGTTGGTTCAGATTGGGTGACGAGGCAAAAATGTAGCAAATTAAAGCAGGATATTTGGAAGCAAGCTGTGCGATTGCTGGAGTAATATCCTTTATGGACCATGTTGTTGTTGTTGTTTTAACCCTGGAGAGCCAGTGTGGTGTAGTGGTTAAGAGCAGTAGATTCGTAATCTGGGGAACCGGGTTCGCGTCTCCGCTCCTCCACATCCAGCTGCTGGGTGACCTTGGACTAGTCACACCCCTTTGAAGTCTCTCAGCCCCACTCACCTCACAGAGTGTTTGTTGTGGGGGAGGAAGGGAAAGGAGAACGTTAGCCGCTTTGAACCTCCTTCGGGTAGTGATAAAGCGGGATATCAAATCCAAACTCTTCTTCTTCCTGGCAGGTCAGGGACTGAGGTGAAAGCTGGTCCTGCTGGATCTCTCAGAGGCCTTTGACACCATTGGTCATGACAATCCTTCTGGACCGTCTAGAGGAGCTGGGAGCTGGGGGCACTGTTGTACAGTGGTTCTGCTCCTTCCTCCTGGGCCGTGTCCAGAAAGTAGTGTTGGGGGATGAGTGTTCAGACCCCTGGGCTCTCACTTGTGGGGTGCCTCAGGGCTTCGTCCTCTCCCCCATGATTTTTAACATCTACATGAAACCGCTGGGAGAGATCATCAGGGGGTTTGGGCTGGGTGTTCATCAGTATGCAGATGATACCCAGCTCTACCTCTCTTTCAAATTGGAACCAGTGAAGGACTGTGATGGTCCTGTGTGAGTGTCTGGAGGCGGCTGGAGGATGGATGGTGGCTAACAGATTGAGGTTGAATCCTGACAAGACAGAAGTACTGTTTTGGGGAGATGGGGAGGGGAAATGCCTTCTGGGTTGTCTGGGTCTTAACCCATTGTAATCCTAGTGTTTATACCAACACAGCACTAGGGAGTTGAGGTCCTCCTTATTTGCTGCTGTTGCAGAAATGCTCCATCCTGAAAAGTTCCTACCCTAGAGAGTAACTCATTTCTGATGCTACAATGACACATGCCTATGGCTATGAATGTCTATTGCTATTGGCTCATTAATGTCCTTTGTGTTCCAGAAGTCTCCCCTCTTCCACTAGGCTACCTAAGATGGAAGCCCCTCTGGTAAGCCTGGATGAAGAGTTCGAAGATCTGAGGCCGTGCTACATTGAAGACCGGGAAGAGAAATCTCATTATTTTTATGGCTCCTCTCCTCGGCATTTGGAAGACCCCTCCCTTTCTGAGCTTGAGAACTTCTCCTCTGAGATCATCAGCTTCAAGTCCATGGAAGATTTGGTCAATGAATTTGACGAGAAGCTCAATGTCTGCTTTCGGAATTACAATGCCAAAACTGAAAACTTGGCCCCTGTGAAAAACCAGCTCCAGATACAAGAAGAGGAGGAAAACCTGCAGGATGAGGAGTAAGTAGATTAATGGTCAGAAGTAGTAAGTAAACACAGAAGTAAATAGTGTCAGCAGTAAGCTCTTATTTAGAAAAAAAACCACAACTCTACTATTTTCCCATTCCTTCAAAGTAAACTCTAGAGGGAACCTGTTTCATTTTGATTCTGTGCAGAATCTGGAGTTGCACAACACTGATTGGCTAAGCCTCTGCACCAGTCACATAAAACCACTTCTTCCATTCTCAAGTGCTGGTTGGTTGGCCCTTGGCTATCACTCCCCGCTCTTCATAGAGCAGATTTGTAAACGTAAAAACCCAAACTTCTAAAAGAAGAGAGAAGAAAGTGCCACATCACAAGGCCAAGGAAACCTTTTTGCTCTTGAAGGCCGCAGACAGGCAGTGTTCAGGGCTAGAACCCAAAGTGGGCAAGTTGACCCTCTCTCTCTGCCACTCCCTTTTCTTTCTTTCCCTCTGCTTCCCGTGCTTTTCTTCATTTTGCTCTCTAATTTAAACCAGGTTCTTGATCTCTACCATATTGCCTTATTTATTTATTTATTTACTGAAAGACCCTTCTTGCCTGCATTCAGGCCATGCTGCCCTTGCAAGGTACTTTGTAAGAAGTTTGGAAAACACCTAAAGACGTCATTAGAAATATTTCATTTCATTTTTAGTTTTCCCTCCCCTCCCCACCCACACACTGCTTCAAGTCCCTTTAAATAGAAATGCAGTACAAGAAACGCAGGAAAATGCAGGGCAGAACCGCCCTCCCACTACTGATACAGCTGTGGATGGCAGGACTGTGATAGGGCAGGGCGACAGGGGCATGTGGTGTGCAGATGCCACAACAGGTGCCCCAGGTTGGCTTAGCTGATGCCTCTGTGCAGGCCTGAACTCTCTGCCTCTGCTATGTCCAAGTAAGCTTCACGATGCCAGTGTTGAGAAGGTGACTCTTGTGCCATGACACCAGCCACCACTGAAAAAGACTAATAGTAACAACAAGAACATAAATATGGGCTTTAGTTGCTATTGGGCTGGATGGGCCATTGGCCTGATGCAGCCGGGGAAAGTTGCCTGGGAACTCTGGGAACTGTAGTTCTGGAGGGGCTGGAGGAGCCAGACGTTTATTATATGAAAAAGCAGCATATATTTGAAAGATGTCAAAGGACAGTCCCGCTTTCGAAGGAGTTTGCTGTTAATGGGCTGTTTGGTCCAAGTCTGGGTGGTGAGGTTTTGAAGGTTAAAGGACCACAAGAAGGTGCTTTGAAGTTGCCTATCAAGAGTTAGCACCACGATCTTCTGCACTGTGGAGAGAGGTGTTGCATTTCCGTTGAAATTATTAGCTGCTCCTAACTTTCCATTTGTGCACATATATATTAGCAAATGCAAACATATTGGTGGCCTGTTCTTATATGATGTGATTCAACCCCTTCCTATATTCCTCACATCCACAACATCAGAAGAGGTGAGCATCCCTGGAAACAGTCTGGTTCAGAAGCAGCAAACTTGAGCTAATAAGCAAGGTCATTGCATCTGAAATGGGACCATACCTGAGAGGTCCATGGGTGTTTCCCATAGCTCTTAGTGGGTTTTTTTCAGCCGGAACTCACTGGAACTTAGTTCTGGCACCTCTCAGGTGGGCGCCATTGCCACTGTAAGAGAACGAGGGAGGTGAGTTTCAGCACCTCTTTTTCTTGGAACACAACACTGTTCTTACTTCAGAAAAGGGTTGTTGTTTTTATTTTTATTAGGTATTTTGTGGTTTCATATCTTGCTTTTATTCTGTGAACTGCCCTGAGACCCCCGGGGTATAGGGTGGTATATAAATTCAATAAATAATAATAGTACAGTGGTAAAGGTAAAGGTAAAGGTACCCCTGCCCGTACGGGCCAGTCTTGACAGACTCTAGGGTTGTGCGCCCATCTCACTCTATAGGCCGGGGGCCAGCGCTGTCCGAAGACACTTCCGGGTCACGTGGCCAGCGTGACAAGCTGCATCTGGCAAGCCAGCGCAGCACACGGAACGCCGTTTACCTTCCCGCCAGTAAGCGGTCCCTATTTATCTACTTGCACCCGGGGAGTGCTTTCGAACTGCTAGGTTGGCAGGCGCTGGGACCGAGCAGCGGGAGCGCACCCCGCCGCGGGGATTCGAACCGCCGACCTTTCGATCGGCAAGCCCTAGGCGCTGAGGCTTTTACCCACAGCGCCACCCGCGTCCCATAGTACAGTGGTACCTCAGGTTAAGTACTTAATTCGTTCCGGAGGTCCGTTCTTAACCTGAAACTTTTCTTAACCTGAAGCACCACTTTAGCTAATGGAGCCTCCCACTGCCGCCGCGCCGCCGGAGCACGATTTCTGTTCTTAATCCTGAAACAAAGTTCTTAACCTGAAGCACTATTTCTGGATTTGCTGAGTCTGTAACCTGAAGCGTATGTAACCTGAAGCGTATGTAACCCGAGGTACCACTGTAATAATAATAATAATAATAATAATACAGTGGTACCTCGGTTCTTGAATGTTTCCGTTGACAAATGTTTCAGAACCCGAATGCTGAAAACCCAGAATCGTGAATGCTTCCATTTTTTAATGCGCCTCAGAAATTGAATGGCTTCTGCTGTGTATTTTTCAATTTTCTCAATTGAATTTGCAGACAGCCCTTTGGCTCCTCAGTTTTCAAACGTTTTGGAACTTGAACGGTCTTCTGGAATGGATTACGTTCAAGAACCGAGGTACCACTGTAATAAGAAAAGAGAGGGGGCTTGCTCCATGAGGACTAGTTCCATTGGTATAAAGTTCCGTGGGGAAAGATGTGTGTTTCCTCATTGATTTCTCCTGGAGTGGGAGCACTCCTATTGGACAATAAGGTGTTTTGTGTAACTGAGTTTTGGGAAAACATGAGGTTCTTCTGATATGTCTCTATACTGGTAAACAACGTGTCTATTCAGGAGAGGCAAAACATTGATGGGGTTAAGCCAAGGGTGGGTGGGGGTGGGGAGAGACTTCTGCCAGCTGCAAGGAGCCAAACAGGGAAGCAACAGATTCAACAGCTGAAAGAAAAAGCAAATGAGAATCTGGTCGTTGTAGTACAAAACAAAGAGAATTTATGCTTCCTTCCACAAAAAGGATCCTAGGTTTGCTTTGGCTGTCAAAACAGTGAAGATGCTTCCTCCGTATCAGCTGTCTGCACAAATATTATGCCGATACCATTGTGATTGTGTAATAATATGAGATGCATTTAAACCAGGGGTAGGCAACCTAAGGCCCAGGGGCTGGATGCGGCCCAATCGCCTTTTAAATCCGGCCCGCGGATGGTTCGGGAATCAGCGTGTTTTTGCATTAGTAGAATGTGTCCTTTTATTTAAAATGCATCTTTGGGTTCTTTGTGGGGCACAGGAATTTGTTCATATTTTTTTCCACAATATAGTCCGGCCCACCACATGGTTTGAGGGACGGTGGACCGGCCCACAGCTGAAAAAGGTTGCTGACCTCTGATTTAAACGATGTGCAGCCCTCTGGTTTGAGGGAAGTGGTCACCTGTGCTGTGTGACCTGTCCTCCAGTTTAATAATTTGTGTGGCAAGAAGAGCACCAAGAGAAAAATCATGGAGAAGTCTATCGACGTTCAGATAATAGATATTAATTGTGAGCTCAGACGCTGAGATACGATGAAGGCTGAATTGTAATGCTTCTGCAGCCAAAACAGGGCAACTGGGAAACAAGAGGCACGCTAAAGGGAACCCTAAAATTTGCAGAAGGAGAAAAAAATACCTTGAAGGGGAAAAAAATCAAGACAAACCAACCAGTGAGGACTTAGCACACCCAGCGTCTGCAGAAAACTGACCATTGTGGGGAGGGAACATAGAAAAGGAGGGTCCTGTTAAGTTGTGGGTGAACATATCAGACGACACAGTGATTCTTCAAACAGCTCTTGTTTATTCACAGGCCAGAACAGAACTGAACTGAAGGGTTCAGCCAGCCTGCTTATATAGAGCTCCAGAACAACGTAATTGTAGCAACTTTCTGTAACTATCCAATCACTGAACGTCACTTTCGATCCCTTATTTGCATATGTGGACCTGAACTATCTACAGTATCCCCCTGCTGGCCCAGGGTGAGAACTTCAGTACATAACACCCCTCCCCACCGAGATAAGGCGTTAGTTACAATCGTAATGGTTTCCTTATATACAGCACTACGCGTAATGGTTCCATTAAGCACAAAAGCATATCGGTTACATTTCACATGCTTCCATTAGACCAACAGTGTTACATGTCCAACAACATAGTCCTTTAAATAAGTTGGGCGCTTGGAAACTCTGCCAGACTGCAGGGGACCGGTACCCAGGTCCGGGGGGCCGCCCGATCCTTGCTGAGGCTGTGGCGTGACCCTAGGTGGCGTTGAAACCAAGTCCCCTGGATCCGCTGCTGTGGGTGGAACATCCGCAAGTGGAGTTGGCAGAATGTCAGGCACGGCAGTGGTCAAAGCTGGATCTGTCCTTGAAAAGCCCACTTTCCCCCAAATTTTAAGTGCTTAACAGCAACAAAAATAGTAGGAATTAAAGAAAATTACAGCCGCAGTCACATTTAAAGTGCTATGATACCACTTTTGAACAGCCATGGTTTCTCCCAGATAATTTGTTGGGTACTGAGGGTGTTGTTAGGAGACCCCTGTTCCCAGGATTCTTTGGGAGAAGTCATGTGTTTTAAATGTGCATTGAATATGCTTAAATGTACTATGTTAATCTGCCCAGCAATTTTAGTCGGCCTCCAGGTCACCTGCTCCACTTACCGATTTAAGAAAATTTACATGCCCCAAGCAGTTTGCAAGAGATGGTAATTACTGTTATGAAAATAGTTAATTGAAAACATTAAAACTAAAATTAACAGGAAGAGAGATTAAAACATGTCGACATCTGTGGGCTTGGATAGGATTGCCTAAACACAAATGTTTTAAGCAGGCAGCAAAAAACAGTACAGCAAAGGTTCCTGTCTAATATCAAGTGGCAGGGAGTTCCACAGTGAGGATGTT